ATGCGTTTTATATCTAATTCAATTTGCTGTTGCAAAGTTAAAGTGACACATGGTTATGAACAATTCCCTTAACTCAAAAACATTTCGATAAGTTCCTCGACTCCTATCGTGTAAGTAATAATATTACAGATATTTCTCTCTCGATACACTGTCTCATCTTCCTTCACCGAGTCTATAAATAAAAAAAATAAATTTGCAAACACCTGTATTTTGTTCAAAAAAATAATGGAAATTCAAGCAATATAATAGAAAGATCTCTTATCGCGATAAAGACGATTGCTTAAGATGCGAAATAGGACCACGCGCATTTGAAATTGTTTACAGTTTTATTTCATATTTTAAGTCGTTTGGTCAAGTCGGTTGAGTGGAGCGTTTGAAACTAACCCTGGATTTGTGCTAAGGGAGACAATGAAAACGAAACACGACAGGAATTAGAGAGAGAAAAAAACAACTTCAAGATCACAAGTTATATAACGAGTGCAGGGCATTATAATGTCTCGAAAGGAGAGGGCACTAAAGATCAATATTGATTACGTTGGTGATAATTCATCAGTCGCCCAATACGTTCATTGAGTGTTAACCAGCAGGCCATCATTCATTTTGCAAGAGCTGCAGATGTGTACATTGTATACTGATAGGGTACGGATAAGTAGATTTTACACCATTCCATCCACTATAGTCACAATATCAAAAGCTTGATAGGAATAAGGTTTTATATAAAAGAAAATTTGACACCTTGAAATAATTGTCCAATGTTCTGTGACAGGTTTATATACGTTTGTAAGATTACTCCACCTGGCTACTTGACAAATGTCAATTTGTTTGATATCTTCCAGCAGAGTTAGACAGATCGTGTTCATATTGAAACAGTTACAGAATTTTAATTTGATTTATTTTGTACTTGTACTTACTTAAACAATTGGAATGCGTGTATTGTATAGCAAAAATGAAAGTACATGCTGAATAAATATGATGAAGTAGAACTTGATTGTACTTAACCTTCCTTGATAAAATTTAACAGTCCAGGGAGGTTTTCATATTTATCATATTTTTTTTATTTTTTTCATCTTTACGAATAATTTTTAACAATTAATCAATAACAAGTTGTCACATGCACTTAATGCTAGGAAACGAACACGTCAAGTGCGAGGTGATAATCTACGATAGAAGCTGAGTATTCTTAATGAAAAAATCAATATTGACAAGGTAAACATTGCATAACTTCCTTAAGAATATGGCTATTTGTTGTTTAACCTTACACTGGCAGATTTAGGGGGGGTCCATGTTGTAAGAATCGTTATAGAATATTTTACAGTCAACAGCGTAGTGTAAACAAATCTGCGCACGATTCTTATCATTTTAACAGCATGTGGGCGAGTACTCGTGTAGATAAATGTAGTAAACTATTGTGAAAATTATCTCGTATTTATACGATATGTACATGCTGTATCATGAAATGATCGTCTCTAATTGCTTTTTCAGCGATACTTATTATAAGTAATTTCAATAAAACTTGCAGTTAGTAAGTTTACATTAAATTTAAATGTTTACTATTCAATTTTTTTGTTCGATAAACGAAACAGCTATAAAGGGATTTTTTTTTGCTGATATGTTTCTTCGTAACGGTGGGATATCTATCAATAATACAACGTATCACAAGAGTGAGAAAATGAACGAACTTTAATCAGAAATAGAGAACGAGTCAGATGAAGATAAAGCTACTATCTGATATAGTATATACTAAAATCCAGGCGTTAGTTTAATTCTTTGTAATAGGCAAAACAGATTGACGAACCAAGAATAACTTTAATAGATCACTGCAATGTCGTTAAAGATATTTTAAATCGAGCGAGAACAAGTTCGCATGGACTTCGTTTTGTTATGAATAATATTTTTTGTAGCTGTTGTAGATATCTAATCATTACTGTTCCGGAAGTTCAATATTGTTTATACTTCCGGTTTGTAACTTTCGTTTTGATAATATTCGATTCTGATAACGAAATATTGTTTAAATGTCAAATAATCTGTATTTGACTTCCTTTTTGTTTCCGGATTCCCATGCACGGAACCAGCGGTTGCTCGATTACCTTACATGTGTATGTGTGCTGTCACGTGGTAGGTGCACGAGTTCTCGGAGCCTCTGACTCACCGCTTTATGACATACTCTGGCCGCGGTACTGCCGTGCCTGTACGGTGATAAGTGAGGTAGCCGGTATCAATGAACACCCCCTGGGAGAACAAATTCGTGGAATGTTTTTTTCATCATTATGTAAACTACGTCATCCTTACATCATCATATATCTATAAGTGTATCTCGCGATATGGCCTATTTTATCTACACAGCGATTTTCACCGTTGTGTCTGAAACTATAAATGATGAGTACTATTACTGATGATTTAATGTGTCATCGCAAAACCTATTTCAGCAAAAACTCATTCAATCAATGGTTTGTTAAAGATTGTTTTTGGCTGTTTTTATTTTGGAAACCAGTTGTAACGGTTTGGTAGGGAAAGCTTATAAGAGGTCAGTAAGTTATACATTATATTTACTCATTTTTGTTTTTAAGCAAACATACACACGAGTCATATTGACTTAAACGATCCCTCTCCTCAACAATGAAACAATAAAGAATCATCATTAGAATAAGATAAGCCACGAGAAGGAAGTCCAGGGAAAGGATAAATATAGAGTATAAGTTAGATGACATAATTTCCCTACAACCTCTATTTTATGATATCGACTTGTTGTTACTATTTTTTGAAACATCAGGTCATTATTCACTGTATATCTTCACTTCAATCGTTTCTGTCAATATCACTTTCCCTCAGGTTCCTACATGCACCTTTACAAAAGTCCATAGTGATGAATGTTATATATGAAACAAATACGATATCTATAAAAATGACATGAAGTTCGAACACCGGTTGAGTGTGAGTCTTATAGTCAGGAGAAAGATCACTTTTCAATATTTACGTTAACTTTTATAAATAACATTTTTGAGGAAACTTTTTCACCGTTAGTAATCTGTTTTGAACAAATCAATGTACTGCTGTTTTTATAATTTTTTCACAAGACTCATTATTTGTCCCACACTGTGATCAGAATATTGCGCTCACGTACAAATAAGTCATTGATATTTTTTTTTTATAATCGCGTGTCACTTATATAATATTCTAAATCATCTCGGTCATTAAATGTTGTTTTTTGTCCGTTCAATGTTTTATTTTTTTAGTTTAAAATGACAAACTTAATCAGCCAGAGTTAATTTCTCCTTCGCTTTCATAAAGATGTCCCTTTCCCCCCACAATTAACAATCTGATGAGCTATCTAAATCACTCTTTTTGACAGTAGGCGTATGCCCCGTACCATTAGTTCTTGATCGGTATTCATATACATGCAAATAAAATTCTGATTCTGGGATAATTGGCTAGTTACCCATCCTTCATTTGTTCCAAGGTTTTGATTAGGTAATCAATAGGCCAAGAATGTATTTCAAAAGTCCAGATTTATGTTTGTATTATTGTTATATATTGATTGAGGATTAATATCATATCAAATACCAGACCAATAAATATTTGACTCACTTAAATGTGCGATGACACACTATAATCTTAGGGAAGTTAGAACTTAAATATCTCAATTAAATAGCGTTTGTTTTTTGTAAAAAACGTTTTTGTCACGAACTTAATAATCAAACATATCTACGACTTTCAGCGAAAAAAAGAGAACTATCAAATATCATGTTATGTCTGAAGTTCGATCGACACCTTATTCTTCTTCCTCTTTTACCGATATGTACGTCTTTTGGGTAAAACACGAGTAACAACTTGGACCAAAGTGACCAATATCATCATTGGAAGAATATATGTTTTGAATGATTTGAATGATATTTTCAGATATATACATGCACTATGTACAACAAGATAGATGTCTGGCTTCGTTACGTCAAGTGTGGGTACAATATCATATAAAGGTTGAAAAAATTAATCGGTGATATTTATGTAATTATTAAAACTTCTTTTTTTTAAGTGAATCCTTGGATTCAAACTTATCTTTTGTCAACATTAATAATATTAATGACATATTGAGGTAAAGAAATTTGAATCGGTGATGAATATTTCAAAACCATTGACAACCATGTTTAAATATTATCGCTTCGCAATGATAAACTTTGAACTATCCATTATGGTGTTAACATTTGAATTTGAAACGCAATACTATCATTTTAACATCACAATGAAGCATCAGGAAATGGCGTGTTTATTTGAAAAAAATCTTAAACCGAAAATTCCGAAATCATCTTAAGCACATAGTATAAAACATGATCATGTAAACCTAGCTGTACATAGCACCAGGTCATAAATCGTGTCATAGAAATGACAGTTCTAGAAATAAAATATATTTGGTATATCAATATGATGTACATTGTTAAAACACTTTCCGTTACATATTATTGCATCAGCTTTATCAATATGCTAGTTTCTTCTCCCTGTAAATGGCAAGTACGAGTTCCGATATACGAAGTGTATAACTCCTTAATACGTTAACGTTATAAATAAACATGATATATTGTAGAATGTTACATGCAAATCTCGTCTTTCCATGGATGACATGGTAACTTCCAATAGCACTGCATGTTTATGCACGAAGCTTGGTGTGCTACGCTAATTAGGATAAATCTATCTATATTATTACACAAGTAATAGATAATTTCCAATTGAACGAAAGTTGCATTCGTTTTAAAACAATACCTTTAATCTGTGATAGGATACCTTGTCATCCAATACTTACACACAAGTGAAAACGAAAGTTACTAATACAGAAATAATAAAGTTTACAAATTCCTATAATGAGAACAATAATGATTAATGTTTTAAGTTATTCCCGATTAATAATGACTTACCCACCACTGTGATACATGCACTCTTTCCCAGTATACAATGGAGTAAACACTGAAGCTGCCAAATGTAAACAAACATGGCCGACGCAGCATACTTACATGATCAAATTGTCTCGTGTCGCATAGGCGTGGTCACCAAAGGTCAACTACAGAAGTCTGCCGGAAGTACTGCAATCTTCGGTGCACGTCGTGTAATGATATCTGGGAATCCTTCCACGTTAGTGGTAAGAGTGTATACTCACCCCCTGGTTTAGATCAAATGCGTATCTGCCTCAATGCATACCGGTGACATATGCAGGCGGTAAGTAAAGGTTCGGACTCTATTTTTAGATCATGGTGCTTTCCAAAAGCGATAACAAGACCAGGTGCAAAGGAGGCTGAGATATATAGGCCGCTAAAATATTGGACGCGTCCCAAATCGCTCTGTGGTAAACTCAATACACCTATGTTGCCTAACATTTATAAATGTTGTCAAAAACACTTTATAGACAGATTAAACTAATAAAAACTCTCTTTAAATATATCCAACGTAACCATGACTATGATTTATACTTTTTGTTGTTGAGATAAGATTTTTTTATTAATTCATTATGTCATACTATTTAATGGACGTATAGCAGCTATTACGAATTTGTTTCACTTTCATTTTGAATATAGCGCAAATACTTCACGCGTGTCATAAAGATGATTTGTTACGCAATTATTGTGAAGGTTCTCTTTCAGCTGATTACTACATCATGCAGCTAAACATATTAATGTATGATGGTATTTTAGTTATAGCAATGACAGATATGTTTAGAAGCATCTATGTTCAGACTAATTCATTGTTAAAACCGTTATTACCATTGTGTTTTACCATCGCTCCATCCTCGATACTCCAGGGGTTACGCTTACTTTCGCTCTCTGAAACTCTCGAATATGCCATATCCAAATCGAGAACTAAGTGTGCGCCACACTGTGGGTATTACTGGAAGATTAGAAAACTTTGAAGTACAGCAAAATATAACCGTAAAATTGACCGGCTTTGATGTCGAGAGCTAAGTGAATTGTTAGTCATTTTACCTAAAACCAATAACAAAGCAAGCCACAAACCTACGACTTTACTTTGACATATCCTAGGGGAGCAGAGAGTATTGGCCATGGCACAAAAGCACTTGGATACACGTATCAAGCCTACTCGCTTTCGTTTTAAAATCCGACAGCAATAGCTCTAATATATTTGAAATAGAAGGGTATTACATATTTTTTTATAAAGTGTGATACATGTATTCAATTTACTTTTGAACTACTTGCTTAAAAACTCCTTGAATACCACCTTTAAGAGTCTGAAATGTGTCTTAGATATATAAACATAGCTTAATGGTACATTTAATAAGGAAACATCTGAAATGGAAATTATAACAAATTCTCTTTTTTCCTGAATAATTCAAGATGTTTTTCAATTTCAGATCTAGCTCTGAGAAAGAGTTCATCAACTGCAGTTTCGGTAGAAGAGAATGAGTGCTTCACAAGGATTAACAATGAAAATGCGATCATTACAGTTGGAGTTGTACATTATGTACTTGAACTAGTGAACATTTACGACCAATCTTTTTCTCTAGAACTGAATGAAATTTCCCAAATCCGAACTCAAATCTTAGTATGCTTTTAGTACAACCACCTTGTGAAGTATGACACTATATCTTGTAAACTTCAGTATGGAATTAGTTTTATGTAGTTTTTGACCTTTTTTGTTGATGTGTCGACCATATCAAATAAAGATATATACGTCGTTACGAAAAATAAATGAATAATAGAAATAAAAAGAATGAAACACACAATTATATATATAATGAACCCCAACATAAAACTGAAGACACAACTACATTTTCTGGAATTGTACGCGTGTTTGCACCTCGTGTGGAGACCAAACAAGGTATTCTGGAAAGGCGAGCGTTCTTGTAACATATTTTGTATCTTATTGTCTTCAATCAAAATGTTCATAGTTGACTGAGGCATTTAAGCTAAAATCCCCCTTAAGTAACTTGTTTTGTTCACAATGGCGTTTCTATTTTACAAAACTGTATTAAAATTGCATATTTGGTTCAAACATAAAAGCCCAATGAAAATAAAACGAGACGACTCCAGGGTGTCGTGTAATCGTAATAATGACAAGTACAACATACTGAGTTGTATTTGGGAGAATCTGTCAATATATAGAGTTCTGGTTTGGATCTAAATGTAACAGGTACTGTTGCACTTGACACTATTTCATGATAAGATTTTGGCAAATAAACACGGGGATCATTTGTCGTTTTCTCTTTGAACCGTATTTGCTGACTCGCCTGTAAACCTCACAATAAGTAAATAGCCATTGTATGTAAGATATTGCTCTGTTGTAGAGCGCCCACCTGTCATTAAGACCACGTCTGAGTTTATGTATCAACTGTCACCTCACTGGTGGCATAGCTTCCACAGATCGCACAAGAAGAAAAAAAAACAGTTTATATTATCGTTGTACTTTTGCTTTCTGAATATTACCTACCTATCGTGAAAAATGTTTAGAGAAATGTACTATTTTCAAGAATTTTACTCTGTGATAACAATTTAAAATGTTTCTTAATGGCATTTATGGAAGAGAAACTATTTAACGAAAAGCTGCGGAAAACACTTACCTTTCGAAGCACCTGGTGTTCATTCATACAAGTTATATCAAATAGCAGCGGACGACGAATTTAGTTCAATATAACGCGACGATTTTTCCCCTAATGTTCACAGAAATATCGGTTTCAGATTATTTTTATTCTATCATTCTGTACTATATAAATATCATGATAATATGTACATTGTATAATATTATGCGTTCATGTGTTAAGTAACGGCTTCTACCATTGTGTTGACAAAACGAATACATTACATAAGTCATGCACGGTACGTCACCTCTTTGTAAAAGTCATCGTTTGCACTATGTAGCATGAAGCGTTTGATATGTATTTTAGTGACAATTTATTTGACTCTAGCTCAAACATATCTGTTGAGATCGAATGTTTGTATCAGCGACATTGCTCGATATCGTATGACTGTGACTACAAACTAACAAAAAATAGTTTCTGTTAAACGACATAACAGCGCACCTTGATATCTTTTAATTGCCCCTTATGCTGTGAACATATACATACAGTGCATATCTGAGCTTATGCCTGTAGCTGTTTTGAATATGAGTATTTTATTACATGATTATTTTGTTTTTGTTTTAAATAAAAAAAATGTATACTTCAATAAATTTATTAATCAATTATGATACCTTTTAACTTAAATCAAATGTTCATGTGTTCCTAATATGTAAATAGTGCTTTGATAAACAAAAGAATGATTACTTTAAGGATGCAGTGTGTTCTAAGCATTAAACCAAGTATAACACGTAATCACATTGTATAAGTATGTTTTCTGTTATTGTGTGTCATATTTATTTTTTTTTTTTATTTTTTTTTTTATATATTGATGAAATATTAATACATTACATTATACTAATGTATTATGTTAATACGTTGTAAAGTATATTTGATAGTCAGTGGTGCAATTTAAGTTTAGACTGTATAATGCGATTCAGTTTAACATGTTTGGTTCGATCATGCCCGAATTTATTTCACTTATCTGTACGGTGTTATATTGATCAGTTCGTATTTGAATCAACATTGTATTGGAGTGGTGCTCGCTCCGACATGATGTAAAATGAATATTGCTTTAAATTAAAGGTTTTATAAAAATCTGAAAATGGTATCAATAGGTTAGTTCAGTGCATTATTAATTCTATAAAGTATTTGTATTCAATTTAAATTGCCTGTAGACCGAGAATAGGATGTATGTGTCCGGAAAATAAATGCATAATATGATATGCTTTTTGTTGTTAATGCTGTGTGTGTCTGTGTAAAATGGTACTCTATCGTTGACTGATGATATTGAACATGAACAATACTCCAAATAAGAGTAATTGTACATGTTGTGTATATCACAAGGAATTCGATTCAAGGGAGACACTTTTGATTAAATGTGTGTCTTAACGTCTTACATTAAAACCACAAATATCAAAATAATAATGAATGAATGATTTTATATTACATATTGCAGAATGCATGCATCTACTTGTAAGGTCGTCTCCATGATCTCATTAAGAAATATTCTATGAGCTTGTGTAATATATATATATCTTTGTTAAATAATAACCTTCATGTTGTAATTTGAATTTGACTGTGATTTACATTTTGGTTGTCGTCGATGAAGCTGAAGGCCCTTTCCTTCTGGAACACCTGGTCTTATTATCCTTGTTCCTAAGGACTTCAAGTGAATCTGTCCTTCGTTCATATTTTGCAATATTTTTACTAGTTTTATCTTTTCTGTAACACTTAGGTGTTTTCTTGTTATTTATTTACAGAGGCAACTTCCTAAAGTAGTTACTCCTGCTTTTCTTAAAAAACATTTTTTTTTTAACAAATCTATTTCTAAATTTAAAAGGATAATTGCTAATTTCCTCAGCTGCCCCGAAAATGACCCACGTATGTTTATTGTGATACAGTGTTATAACACGAACTAATTTTTGCATAGTAAACATGGATGAAGTTGTGTATTATGAACGGAAACTATTAGTTTTGAGTAAGTTAATGTACAACAACATGTAAACGGATGATTTGTACGGCTGTTATTGTCATGGCTTGCCATCAGCTAAGAGAAAATAATGTTGGAAAGTACAAGTTTTATGTTTAGTAATACATGGAAAGCATGTTACAAGGTGTATCACCCATCCCGCTTGGTTATAAATCACACTTGGTCAGGGAACATCTACTCTCGTTAAAAGAATATATGATTAAGAAAAGAAAATTGACAATAGTCAAAATAAGAATCTAGGTGAGGAGGACGAACTAAAGGTCAGTAGTGTCTATCGTATGAAGTATGAACTTTGCCGGGTATATTGTTGATTGCTGGTCTGGTAAAAGAGACATTTAGTCAGAGAACGAATAAAAAACAAACCCCGTAAACGAGAAGTACTTAAATATACGAGTACTCAGTCTGGAGAAGATATGTTTCGAGTGATATTTTCTATCTTAAACAGAATGACGTCGGCAGTAAAAAGATATGTTTGGTAAAATCTGTCGTTTACTGGAGATAATTTGTCTAGACGACACATGGGCTATATCATTTTCTACTAACCGGTTGTTATTGACAAGTGTCATCCTAGACACCCAGCCATGCTTCCACAATACTCGAAACGGTTATTTGGAACTCTGCAAAAGGTACATACATATATATAAAGACACTGTATCTTTCTGCAATTATATTAACCACATAATCAACCCAAAAATTAGAATTCCGTTTGTTCATACCCGCTGTCTTTGACAAAAACAGGTACCAACCAATAATGTTAAAATGTATAACACCAATGTGGAAGTAGTGGTGAAGTACAAAGCTGTAAACTTGATTTACGGTTCCGTTTTCCAATTATTACAGGAAGCCGGTAACGTTTTCCGTGCGTCCTTTATTATGAACACTCGTCATAGTATTGCTGTTTGGTGCCAGCTAGTTAGTCGATAGATCTTATGCAGAAATCAACATAATTTTACAGTAGCTGTAAGTATACATTTCAACTGAAATTTGACCTTTCATTAATTTATTTTGGGGCGAATCTCAACCCCAGCAAAAAACTGTTCCTTTATGACAATTGCCTTGTTGTGTGTTTGCCAAACCTAATTAACTTTCTATCTATGACCGAACACTTTGTAGATGGGATGTAGCACGAGGTAGGTCTACAATGACATCCTGTCAACATGTATTTGTATGGTACCAGCATTCACTTTAGGCTATTTGTGAAATAAGTTATTAATAAGTCACTTAGCAAACATTAATTGACGACTTTCATCACGTTCGTTACATTATGCTTACGAATATCTGCACTGTTATTTATTTTGTTTGAATACTTTGCATTTCGTTACTGGTTTGTTCATCGAGTGTACACATTACTGTACACATTCATGAACTCTCTTTCAAGAATGAGAAAACAGTCTTACAGTGTATGTAAATTTTGTTTAACAACTTTGAAAAGACGTGTCAAAAATGTCTGTTGGCCTGTATTTGATCCGTATGGTCTTGTTATGTCAAACATCAAATATACACATAAACACATAGGCATTCAAATAAAAACTGAGATACCTGCTTTTGAACAAGAACCCTTTATATGCATGTACCAGTCATATCAAGATTCGGTGTTCTCAAGATTCCCTTTTATTAATCCCGGGACAAATAGTGTATATCTATCATATAGCAAATTTTACTCACAATTTATTTATTTTTGTAGTTTTGTTTCATCCATTTAAGTGAATATGTCAATTAGCAAAAAAACACCAACCATCAATGATATATTTATATATCCACCATTTAGATATAAACAATTACTAAAGTTTATTAAGCTTCACAGCTTATGCTATATCAAAAGGACAAGATAAGTACACTATTATTCACAAAATAACACCGTAGCCTTAACAGAGGATCCATTGGTTCAGCTTTTCTGCAAAATAGACATTTTATTACCTTCGCGATGAAGAGTTCACCAAAGAATCCGGTGTATATTTGAAATACACGTTATCACTACACTGCCAACAGCTATACATTTGAAGCTATTCTAATATTTGACAGTAATAAAATCAGACATTTGGACAAAAGTCCGTGTTTGCTTGTTATTTGAAAAGACTCGTGACGCTGAATATCTGTTACAGTAACACCAATTAATGTTAATTACACACTACAACGACCTGTTAACAGATAACATGTTTTATTTTGCACATTTGTACATTTGTATTTTAACAGAACAAAAAAGCATATGAAGGACATGCCTATTATAGGAAGTAGTGAAATATAGGGAGATGCATAGCCATTATAATTGTTCTGATCGAGTTGTTAAGAACTCGATCATGAAACGGAGTTGGATGCCTAATGCATGAAACAGCTGATCATCGTCGCTGGTTCCAAAAGTGCTATCACGTGCTGACAAAAATGCAATAGCCACTTACAGCCTACACAAGGAATGTTTCATTGGTTGCATTAACAAATCGTTACAAAAGTTTAAATGCAGCTTCATTTCCGATGATTCCATTCGTAATGTACCAAGGGATGTTAAGCAAATGTCAATGACATGAGGGTACCGAATATGGAACACTTTCATAGAAATATTTTCATTTTTTTAAATGTACAGAAAAAGACGATGACCACACATGATAACTAGTGTAGTCATACCGGAACAAACAGTAAACTTTCAATTTCTGTACCTAATACGTCATAAGGCTACAACATGGTTACATCACTTTGCTGTATTTTTATTGGTGTATTATATTACTTCCGGTCAACGATGTATCTAAAAGACACATGGGTCCAGTTGTTAAAAAGGTAGTTAGCTTAATCATTGTTGAACGACAACTTTCAACCTTTAAATAGTCCGCAGTATTCAAGGTAAAATCTCACAATTTTGCATGTAAATTTATTCTACTAAATATTTGATATCTGGAAAGTTGTAACTAGTTAAATGGTTCTTTTATGAAGAAACATGGAAATGAAAATTTGCGCTAATCACTGATTAAGCTAATCACCGTTTGAACAACTGGGCCCTGAACTCAGTATTTATTTTCAGTACCAAACGCACCTGGATGTATATATCACAATATTTACGTTGTGTTTTATCATAAAAAAATGCATAAAAATTCAGTCCATCATTGGAGTTCAAATAATTGAACATAACCGATATAAAAAAATATGTAACTAATATCTAGATATTTATTTTACGATGTCATCTTTAGATTGACGGAACTCTCAAGGGAATACCAGTTGGTTATTTTCGCACAGAGTTGAGGAAATATGTTATTTCCCAACAATTTAACATCATCTGGTACATCTGTGTCCCTTCACAATAATGTCAACACGACTTATTTTATGATCATCTGGTACATCCATCCTGACCCGTTTTTCTGGCTTTACTCGTTTAGTGTTTTCTAAAATACTTGTCAGGATTCCGTTCTGTACTAGCAAAGGGACGGTTTCGTCAACATCTGGTTTCCGTAAGGGACTTTTCCTTTTAATACTTGAGAATCTTCTTACCCGCTTATTTCCTCCTCGACTTAAAAAGTCCTTCCATAAATGATGAACAAGATCTATTAATAAGAATGTGTTTGAATGCTTGGAAATCAATTTTAAAATAAATAAGCCATCTCTTCGTAAATATCGCTTTAAAAATCGGTTCAGCAGCTTTGGAAATGCTCTCTTCCCCGTATGTTCGTCCTCGTTTTTCATAAGTAAATATTTTTTAGCAAAAGACCTCTGATTTAACGGCACGAACGTGGATAAAAGACTGTAGCAGAAATTACAAAATGCGAGTATGGATAGAATAGACAACCAGAACCACAAGAGAACGAAGAACATCTCGTTGTAATAGTTAACAGGGATAACACACTGAAGCGTGTAGCGATTCACATTGGAGATCTGTCGCATGTCAAAGTCACATAGAGTCACTCTAGGAAACCGCGGGGACAATTCCCTCTGTCCCCCTTCCAGAAAGTTTAGCACGGCCTCGTAACCAAAAACGTAGAATCTATGGCTGAGGAATTCATTTAGGAAGAATAAATGTAACAAAACGTTTATCGCGTAAAGAAACTTCACAAAAATAGCAAGAGTAACTATATTATTTCCGTAATGGCGTCCAATCTTGATGCACGATTTCTTCCCGAATATTTCCCGTAAATTCGGAAACAACCCTGCTCTGTACAGATGTACACTGTAACAGTATTTTCCAATATAGGTCGCTAAATTATACAACGCTTTTTCGCGATCATTTGGGTTGTTCTTGTTCTGCGCATTGTAACATATCTCCAGTACTGTCTTGATGGTGATGCCACAGCGGTTGATGTGGTACTTCCAGAACATGCGCGGTAGGTACATGGTAAGGGCCATCAGAAGAAGGATGATCGGCGTCCACTGGTAATAGGTGATCTCGTACGTAGCCCGTAGCTCGTACTGGGGAGGTATGACTCTGGTGAAGGGGATGTAGTAGGTATTGCTCACCCAACAAACAGCGTTCGTATAATCTACTTCTACCTCTGTAAAATGTGCAGGGCACCAACACTGGATAGGGTCCCCAACGTACTCCTCTGTTGTCAGGTACGTGCTGAAAAACAGGATTCCAATATACTTCACTGCAACAGACTCATTTGATACTATACCACTCTGTAGTCAGTAACGAACTGAGCAGGATGTGAAATCATAAATCTCCCAAAAGGTATAACAAACAGTGAATAAGAAAAATACAAAATGTACTATGTTCATCTAAGGGAGGAACGTATACGAATGCACTGAATAGTCCAATATAAGGAAAAATGCAATTTCAATTTGGAAATAAAAAGCAAACCTACTCGACAAAAAATATTATTCTGATTTTCCTAAAATCATTTAAGTTTCCCAGTGGTTATTAAGTTCAAATCAAAAGCTTTAATTGCTACATGTACGAAATAATCAAAAGAATTGCTTTCATATCAGTTTATTTTCTTTGATAAACAATCGCAATGACATTCCATATCAGAATGAAATTTATCCATTCATTTTCATTCATGTTTTTTTTATTCTGTAAAATGTTGGTCCAATTTCATTTAAACGTTTGTAACGTAGCAAAAAGGTAATATTTTATACGTATTAACATAATAAAAGTGACCACTAACTAAAGCAAGCCTATAGATAACAATTCGACATACACAATGCAATGCTCAATACACCGTCTGGTAACCTACCTGAAGAAGAAGAGCAGCATGATAGTATAATGATGACTGAGTCTGTCTATGTAGTTGTTGTCATGGACGGTCCTCGGCTCCTCGTACGCCCCTAGAGGTCCCAACAGGCTGTCGAGACTAGGTTGAAAAAGAAATGAAATGTAAGCTGACGTCCTTTCTTGCATTGATCTAGAACTCTATTGAAGGTAACAATACTTTTGCTCCTTAATAACATTCTCAATATAATTAACTCAATATATAAACTAATGACATGAATCGTCTTAAGCAAACCGACATATTTGTTTTCACCCGTCATTCACATAATTGGCTTTTGTTTTTAGGGTTACTTTGTCATTACTTTGGCATGATTTCTTTATCAAGACTAAGACTATGACAGATAGTTCATGGAAAGAACAGTTTCATGACGTTATGTAACACTTATGTATGACGTCTCGACCAGCTACCGACAAGAGAGGTTTGTACAAATGACGATAAAACCCCCCAGATATTATAGATGCTGAAAGCAGTTGTATTCAACGCTTAATACTGACAGAATGGACTCATGCAATACGTCACGGGTATACCAGAGAAATTTTGAATCCATCATCCAGCTAGACAATCAACAATATCACCTATTCAGTTGGATTTTTTCTGTCATACTCTCATGTTAGGGAAAGAATATTTAAGCTCTTGAAACATTGTTAGAAATTCTATAAACTTTTGCTGTTATTTACCTTTACCTGCGTTCAGAGTTGCAGTAAAACACGAATATATGAAGAATTTACCTAACACATAGTCAAACTTACTTATTAAACTGGGAAAGATGCCATCGTCTAAATAGTTCATTAATATCAAACCGTTAGGAGAAAAGTATCCAGACATGTTTCACAGCATGACATATACATTAAGCTTAGAGCTGTTAAAATGCACTTTAATTTTCTTACGAAAGCATTCATGATACCTTAATTCCTCCAGATGTAAACCATTTGTCATTTGCGCAGTTTATGCAATTACGTGTCGTTTTGTTAGGATTCATACTTTTGAAATTACATATTTATCATATAAAAGAACGAAAACCCTGTTCAAACAGTCAGAATATCATCAAAATTTAAAATTTCTCAACGCTAGGATACATTTGAAACCATACATCTTGTCATTAAAACTAGGATTTGAAAATATGGTAAATACGACATGTCTAATTGAAAATAGTAATGTGATATTAGACTAGTGATCATTTCTATGGTCTATTGTTATATATTGATATACATACTAGGTAACGACTGGCATGGTGTGGCCTCCTTAGGACAGTGCGGAGAAGAGCATCTTAACCTGTCATCAAATTTTACATTTGTTAATTGGAAGCGATAATTATACAACAAACACATTTTGTAGACTTTAGTATGAAGTTAATTAACCTTAAAGTAAAGCAGAGCTCCTTATTAATGCATTTACTCCCCCTTCCCCCTGTTACATTAATTTTGTGTTGATTGCATGATAACAGTATAGCTAGATATGGTAAGGAGGAATAATTTATTTTAAACCAATCGCTTTTTTACTTCACCATGAGTTCAATTTGTCCATTTATATATTATCCGTAAGGTTAAAAGGGTTAAAATCAATATAGAAAGGTGTTATTTATAGAAGTCACATATATGGAAATGCAGATTTAATATCGTTACTAATTTTCAACTTTGGATACAACAGGTAATCTATGCTTAAACCAGTATTCATGTAAACCATGCAATAATTAATTCCTGCTACACGGAAACGACCAACCCCTAGAACTAAAAGTGTATCAACAGAGTCAATCATGTTGTTATGTAAAATAATCTCGAGAAATACGGACTTAAGAAGCGCCTATTTAGAAATTTAGTTTATTGATACAGAACATTTTACAGAGCAAATGATTACTGCACTATATTGCTATCTCATCCAATTAGGATTACTCAGTGGTTCGAAGCAATCAAAAGATTTAAGTGTCCAAGCTTTGGGTAAGGTGACAGGTGCATTAAAACCTTTCTCAATGCGAATGAAACAGCAATTAATATACTGTATGCCCTTTAAAAGCGCTCAGTCTGATAAAATATCAATGTATGCGCAAGTGGCTGCTTTGACAAACTCTGCAAAGTTGGTTATGCAATAGAGCTAGTTGAGTTGTGTGCTTCATAATGTTTTTGTGTCCTTTGAAACATTTAGAAATTAATTGTCGATGAATATTTTCGCGGACTGAAGATTATTGGTATTTATATAAACCATACTGTGGAGGAAAGGATATATGTACTAGTTTTTCAAAAATATAATATTGATGTTAATTATGATATTGCGCCAATCAATTTAAAGTCTGGTTAGCTTAACGATTCCGTAACAATTTTTTTTTGTCTTATGTATTGAAAATGCAAATAAAACTTAAAAGAAAACCTGAAATTTCATCTTAAACGTTCATTTAAAAACATAACGTGATATAACAAAACATTTGATTTTTTTTTTTAGATATTTATCGCAAATCGGATTTTGAAGAATTGTGTTAAGCTTACTAGGCTTTCGACAGCTCAGAAATTAACATTGATGGTTTTTGTCAGCCTTGACGGATTATCATAAAAAAAATGACATACTGGTGTTCCATGTAATTGTCTGTCATACCAGCATGTTCATTTACCTAATGAGTGAAGACAGATTTAATCGAATACCTATATAAATTAAATATACTAGTACCTGGTGTAAATATTCTGGATTCATTTACATTACGATTATGATGATAGGAATACATTATTATCCTCCTTTGTATAAAGTCTTACGACAGGTATATCTAATAAGCACGGACAGGTAGTAAACAGAGATTTAATTAACGATTACATAACGCGTTTATACAATGCAAATGTAAAATATTGATCTAGCGATATCACCTACTATTTAATAGCCTTGAAGTTTATGACATCATTTATGTTCCAAATTAATTCCATTGCTTACATACATACCCAGACATACTCTTTTTAAGTATTGCTCCTGCCGTACGCGATTGGAGCACACACATTACGGGTTATATGTATATGCATGAGCAGAGTAGGTATCACATGGCGGTAAGTCAATGTTTTTGAATAAAATTAAGTTGTGCTATTACTTCTGATTTATGCACTTTATTATGAATGATTCAATACGCCAAGCTGTAAAAGTGAGTACCATGCTGCGAAAAATTATATTAATACTGACGTAGATTCCTTGGTATATAAAAAAAAGACAAACAAGATGACAGACACTAAATAAAATATGAATATACTAACACAATAAACGAATAATGTATAACCTTCCAAAACCACTGAGTGAAAATTCACTCAATGAAAAACAACAAAATAATTAAATGTATTATATGATTAATAAACTGCTATTCAATTATAATAAAAATATGATTTAGTAGTTGTTTCCCCTACTTTGATTATTTATCTGATAATATCAACTTGTTTATATGTGTTTGTAAATGTGTTCTAATGTCGATGTCTATGCATGTACCACTGTTTGTTACTGTATTTGGAGAGGGCTTAAAAAGGCTATGCCTGCTGCCTAATCCATTTGTCTTTTGATGATACAATGTAATGAATTTAAATTAATAAACTGCTATATATTCTTCATTGAATTGCTCGTGAAATTGAATGTAATACTATTTGATAATCATGAATGGATGAGATGTATTGAAAAGATTCTACGACATAAGTAGTTTAAAATAATAATTAATAATAATTTGAGGTTCTTATGTACCCCTTTATCACAACCTAGTTCATAGGTCGTCTCAAAGCGGTTCACAAATTATTATCCGTGGTTATAGGGCTATTGCAACCAGCCAATATCTTTCTCAACTCCATGGTGAGCATACAGCCGGGTCTGCCATTCCAGCGCTTGCAGCTAGCATTCAACAATTCTGGCACTACCCAACCAGATACTCATTTACAGCTGAGTAGACTGGAACAAGCGGAGTTAAGCATCTTGCTCAAAGATGCAACACAGTGTCGTAACGTGACTCGAACCCACAACCCTACTGTCAGGAGCCCGGCGTCCTATCACTAGACTACCGTGCCTCTTTAGCAAGGACTTTTCTGGTAATGTGTTGGTATTGCTATGATTAAGGGAAATACGAGACCTAATGTGAAACCTGAATATTCATATTGCTTCAAAATACCAACGAAAACAAAATCAAGGCAACCATAAACAAGGTAAAACCTTGTAAACTTGACAAATCCACCTTTTATCCGCTGTTCGGTTTATTTTATTCTAGCACTGCCCGACCACGTACTCATTTACAGCTGAGTAGACTAAAACAAGCGAAGTAAAGCATCTTGGTCATAGATATAACATAGTGCCGTGACGAAACCTCTCGGTCACGAGCCCGGTGTCCTAGATGACATGTCCTTACACAACAATCTGTGGTGTTGGAAACGTGTTTTGCATGTTATAAACATTGTAAATGACGTGTGCTTCAATATTTGTAACAGTTTTAGCTTTTACATAACAACAATTAATGTTACGAAAGGATAACATAAGTAAGCACCTGCATGTTCGCGGCGTTGTAGGGGATTCTAGCACACGTAGAGCCTCTGTTTCAGTGGGCGTGTCTTTAACAGTTATAGTGTTATTGTATAATGGGATAAAAGAAATATTTCATACCACGCACACGTTGTTATATCAGCATGAATCTTGAAAAATAAAGTGTAATATAATCAAACTGAAAAAATCACATGTTTTTAAAGAGGCGAATACAACTATAAACTATTAATCAAAACAAATACTTGTTTTGTTGTCAGACCTCGCACAGTGATATGTATTATTCAAGATTTTACATTAGGTAATCAAAATCTAATAACCGTGCATAATAAGTTGATATGAATGGCGAGATGTCAAATACGTTTCACTAATTGAATCGGTATTAATGTAAATATGAATTGAATTAAGAAAAAACATTATTTTTTTTAAAACCTTATCAAATATAAGATCCGACTTAATTGAACACTACACACCTATACTATAATAGCATTACAATAGTAAGGTTCTGTATTGGTTTTGCGTGGATTTGTAAAGGTAGAGTTTGTACTTGGGAACGCCCAAAATTCACAAAGACATTTTGACTATGTCAACAAAGCAACACTCAAGCAGACACTTTGTCGTTTTTAAATAGATGATACGAGAAAATCGCGAACACAATTAGAGCCAATTGACCGATGTCTAATCAAATCTAAACTCCATTTTTCTTTTATAAATTTTGTTCGGGGCTTAACATCCTTGAAGAATGAACAATGTGCAATGTCATTAAGAAAGGTACCTAAGGAAGCACAGCCGAAAAGAAAAGAGTTGGTAAGATCATGTTTAAGGTCTAAACTGCACCCTTCCCTGAGGACATAGAGGAAGTCTCATTATCTGTGGGTAGTTCACATTAGAAACACGCTTTAATCTTCAGTTATGTACAGCCGAGTTATAATTTCCCCAAAAACTCATGGTGAACTTAAATTGGTTATCGTATGTAAAACTTACCACCTGACAACACTCCTTACGGTATAGAAGTCATTTATTTTCCGAATTAAAGTCGAACCGATCATATCGATTTCACGAATATTGATATCGAATAATGATATATCATTCAACCCCAGTTACGTTACAGGGTGTCTGGTTTATTTTAATACACAACACTATCGTGAATAGGGTAATCAGGTGGCAAAATGGATAACGCACACGGGTTTCACTAAGATAGCTGGGGTTCTATTCCCCTATCGGACGGTCACCTGCCCGACAATGTGGATTTTCTCTAGGTACTCCGGATTCCACCCACATTAAGACCCCCGCGCGCTAACATCCTGGCCAGCAAAAGTGCAAAAGTGCTGAATATAAGTTGCAATACACTGTTTCATAATTGTTGTAAACTAAATGATCAGGAAACAAAACACCACATCCCCTGGTAGTGCATGCTTGAAGGTGGTATAACATTTATTTCCTTGCAGTATCTGCCCCGATTCGGTGCGTTATTTACTCTTATAAGGTAACGTAGGAAATTGGATATTTTTACTTTGAAGTTGATTACTGTCGGTACACTTTATCGTAAGCCGACCACGGATGACATTATAACTACATTAAAGCGTGTTACAATTACACGCATTGAACGCTACAGTAGTAGCTATCACTCAAATTATTTGATGTGTATTTATACCAATTATTATCCTGTTGGCAAATATTTCAATGCATCATACACTGTGAAATGTGAAATAGAAAATATGGACTCCGTGTCAATACACATAGATAGCATCCGAACTCCAAATCGATGCACATTGACAATAAAAAGAACTGAGGGACACCGAAATAAAAAGGAATATAAAAATAAAATAAAATGTAAACACCGAAAAGCTATTAAGTTTGGAAACCTTTAGTGTTGTATTATGGTAAAGACAATATCAAGTATTAATACAACAAACAATGTTCAGTTGACAGCGCTAATTGGGCTTTTGTATGTCCTTATTTCCATTGGTCTTTGAAGGGAACCTCTGATATAAAAATATTAAGCAAACTTTAATTATAATGTAATACAACCTAGAAAATCAGTTAATTTATCTTTAATATTGAACTGGAAAAATAAAACAAAGAAAATTTAACCATGATTCAGACAACACCTTTATAATTTCAGAGGATAACATAACATCAATAACAAATATATCTATATAAATGATAAGGTATTTACAAAGATACACGTGTTCATCCCTGTAGAGAACACTTACCTTCATGATGGTGGCTCACTACACGTTGAAGATATTATCAAATTTCTTCTTGTTGATAGATTTACAAATATTCATAATTTACCACTTCCAAATTAAATAAACATTGACTTAGATATATTATTTTATGTACACCAGGAATTGTTCGACTGATTAGCAAGATGGCGTCCATCATACTAATTTTATTTAAAGTTCATGTAGGTATATACTGTCCAGTGTTTAACCGATGATATAAACAGCTGCCATCAGACGGGAATCTTTGTGTTACCCGCCATTGTCTTACACGCCAGATGGTGTAGAGTTTCTACACATTACCAAAGACTGGCGCGCATGACCGACATGTCTTTGTTTAGCCTCGGAACATTTGAGCATTAGCTATACCATTTACTATCGACCTTTTGACCTTTATTAACAGACAGAATGTAGATGTTTCGATGAAATCCGCATTAATCAGCTTGATTAGATTAATAAATAATCAAGGCGAAATTAAAAAGAAGATATTTCTTTTATTTAAGTTAAATAATATTGATAATAAAAAATGCATCACGTTCTTATATTCTAACTGGCCATTGTCAAGCAAACAAATGCTCGATTTGAATAAGTTACCGAAGTAGTCGTTTTAATATAAACTTTATCCTTAATTGTCAAACATTGTTGGTATTGAACGATTCACTACCACTGGTAATGCGTAATGGAAACATATAAAAGAAGGTTAACGCTAAACAGAAGCAGATTTAAGGGTATCTTTGCAATAAGTAAAACTAAGTTATTTTCATTTCCATGTTGAATTCATTGCGAGCATTAATGCATATTGAATATGTGATTACAGGTTAAGTAATTATGATTTCTTGGATTTAAGTTGACTAGACATAAGCACGAGAACCTCTTTATTAAGGTCTTTGAAATATGAGTCATTTAAATATAGAAGCTGAGTTCCTCACTATTTAGATTTCGGACATCAAGCAACTGTACGATACTTAATTCCAATTAAAATTGTAGCATTAGACTATAAATTCAAATTATTAACATATCAAGTACGAACACGATGTCGACTCATTGTTGTTTACCTGTTAATTGCGTGTTGTTTAGACAAGCATTTCAATACATTTAAAACCATTATGTATTTACCATCTTGACACCTGTGGAGTTACATTGTAACAATGCATTAAAACATGTTGACTACAATAATTTTTACATGAAATATGATTTTACCATATTGTCACGAAATGACAAAACAAGTATAGAACATATCCCAACTTCAATGTACAAGGGAAAACATACCCCAGCATGAACACACGAGGTCAAAATATATTGTATGTTCAACATAAACGATAAACAAATACTCCAACATCGACATCAAAGGACAGAACATACCAAACCATGAATACACGAGGAAAAATAATACCCCAACATCAACACACATGGACAATAGGTAACCCAACATCAACACACATGGACAGAAGGTACCCCAACTTCAACACACACGGACAATATGTACCCCAACATCAACACACATGGACAGAAGGTACCCCAACATCAACACACATGGACAATATGTACCCCAACTTCAACACACACGGACAATAGGTATCCCAACATCAACACACATGGACAGAAGGTACCCCAACATCAACACACATGGACAATATGTACCCCAACATCAACAAACACGGACGAAAGGTACCCTAACAATCAACACACGTGGACAATAGGTACCCCAACATCAACACACATGGACAATAGGTAACCCAACATCAACACACACGGACGAAAGGTACCCTAACAATCAACACACGTGGACAATATGTACCCCAACATCAACACACATGGACAATAGGTAACCCAACATCAACACACATGGGCAATAGGTAACCCAACATCAACACACATGGACAATATGTACCCCAACATCAACACACATGGACAATATGTACCCCAACATCAACACACACGGACAATATGTACCTCAACATCAACACACATGGACAATATGTACCCCAACATCAACACACATGGACAATAGGTAACCCAACATCAACGCACATGGACAGAAAGTACCCCAACTTCAATACACAAGGACAAAAGGTACCCAAACATCATCGCACAATGATAAAAAGTACCCCAACATCAACGCACAAGGATAAAAGGTACCCCATCATCAACAACCAAGGAACAAAAGTCCACAACATTAACACACAAGTACAGAACACACCCAGCATCAACCAAAATTTCAATACACAAATGCATGAATATCGATCAGTGCATGAAAACTCTTAAGCTCAGAAGTAAAACATATCATTGACGTCTTATTTATAATTAACGTTGTCCACTTGTTCCAAAATAATAAATAACTTATGGTAAGCGAGTGAAAACAAATTATAAGTCTAAGTTAAAACTATATTAGAACTTGAGCTTATTTAAATGTCATTACATTATAGTCTCCTTACTTTCACGAAGCGGCTTCCTCATTGGTGAGATCATCTTGTTTGAGATCATCAAATATAACAACCTAGGACATTTGTTTAAGTGAAAGTAGGGTTATATTTAGCCGAGAAAGTGATATTGATTGACCTCCACTTGAAACACAAACGAAACAAGTGTATAGACTCCCTCTGCCTGTCTTAATGTTTAGACCGAGGACTGCCCATATATCAATCTAATATTTGGAATGAGGTTCAGCAGTTTCGTATGAATAATAAATGCTGAGTTTGTTTAGAACTAAAACAGTTATTAAAAATGTATTTATGCGAGCATTCGAAAATGCAGTTTTTGCTTGACAAAGGAAACAGACGCTTTCGAAAACTCGCAAAGATAACTTTTCAATAACTGTTGTGTTCATAGCAAACTCAGCATTAATTATTCAGAACAGTTGTATACTAAACAAAAATATCCTATACACAGGTATATGTAAGATGAAGAGCACATAACTAGTATTCTCGTAAATTGCGGCTATGCAGTAATTAAGAAATATACTGTATCCAAATCGTCATTAATCATAAACTTCATTGCTATCTTGTATCGCATCCTATTACATTATGTGGTAGATATACATCAATATAAAGTATCGGCGTCACCTGGCAGGTAGAGTACTCAGGTACACCTGTACTAACATAAGTGGGTACTACGTACACAGGTGACATATGGAGGTATCAGGTGTCCTTGATCCTGGGATTACCTCCCCCTGACAGGCAATCAAATACTCATAAACTATTCTAATCTATAGATGTATGAATCATCCCATCCAGCTCTGTCAGGAAACCGAATACTCATTCCCATATACATTCTGATAATCTATATATGGCCCATTACAATTTAAACGATATTGCTAAGTTTATATGGGAAAGATGTGGTGTACATGTAAGTAATAGAAAAGCGTAATAAATCATAACGACCGAATACATATAACTTCATTTTATATACCAAAGAGTTTTTGATGCTATGTTGTACATGCAAGTATTAGAATAGTGTAATATATGTTATCATCTAAATGATTTTAACTTCACTTTGTGGTCCAAAGAGTTTATGATAAAAGTCAAATAGTTAAAATATTGTCAATGCAGTTATCTGATTGATCATGACAGTGATTACAAAATATCTAATCGGATGATTTATTTTCGTATAAGTTATACACGTGTACATCAGTTATAATATTAAGCAGTATGATAAAAATAACCAATATAACAAGGTTTCAGAGACGATAAAACCAAACAGATATTATGTTACATGTTGATTTGAAGTTTGGTGAAGATAACGAGGCTACGAATAAACCTACCCTGTATTTAAAGGTCGAGTCAATATTGACACTCCCCCTTACTTTGTAAAGGCAATGAACTCCCTGAAGCTATAGCCATAATATAAATAATATAAGTACAGTACAGAGGAAAACAAATAACGTTTCTGCTTGACAAAATCTGACTGAACAAAACGGAATTCACCTGATCGCTTATCAGAATAATATTGGGACCAAGTGAACTTTCGTTTTGTTAAGTCGCCTGTTCGATTATCAAAATAAAGAAATTGGGGCCTAAATTAACTTTCATGTTGTTTTGGTGATATTTTGGTTCCCGTTGCTGTCTTTTTGCATACATAAATTTATGACTTTGTCCTGATGTGTTGACGCATAACGGATTTTTTTTTTTTTTTTTATCAATTCATTTTTCCAACAGTTTTTCATAATATAGGTACAGAACTGGTATTTTCATTTTCACACTCTCTAACACACATTTTGACACTTAATTCACTCATCATCAACATCATCCTGAAAGTTGTCGTCATCTTCCTCATCACCATCATCATCATCCTCACATTCATCATCATCATCATCACCATTATCATCTTCCTCATTCTCAGAATCATCAACATCATCATCATCATCATCATCATCATCATCATCATCATCATCATCATCATCCTCATCATCCTCACAATCATCATCATCATCATCACCATCATCATCAGCATCACTATTTCATCAGCATCCTGATACTAAACGTTCAAACTATCGTTCCTCATAGCCATAGCCATAGCACAACGGATTTGATATATTCCATTGTTCAGTGACAAAACATTATGTTTTGATGAGATGACCAGTTTTTTTTTTTTTTGTTACATGTAACATTGTGTCTTGATAATTATATTGACGCTTCGGTTTAACGCACTGTTCAGAAGACTACATCATAGTTTCTTTGCGTATTAGTCCTATAATTCACAATGTTCATCGGCTTACAACTACATGTATGTCGTTGTATGTTTACTTCACTATTCACTGACATCTAACACTAAGGTGACTCGACCTTGTTGTCGAAGTCACTGACCAAATTACATAATACATTTATGGCCCTCGTAGTTTAAGGACATGTAGATTTGTTCATTCGAAGGAGACATACTTCCTTCGGGGTTTGACCTAAAAAAAAACCTATTCCCTCAATAAGCCATTGGGAAATATGGCGGAGACACGGAGGTGAAGATTTTGGCATGCAGGTGAAGGATTTGAGAGTCAGGCTAGTCAAAAAATTAAGCCCCTTACCGCATCACAAGGACAAGCCAATAGGTCGATCGAGTAATGTTTAGCTAAGCTTCTTGAATTATCGTGAATTTCATTCTCTTTTAAGGGTTGGAAGCATTGAGCCTGATCGAGTAGCTCTAACGAACGCTATATGAC